CCCCAAAACCCCAAAACCCCAAAACCCCTAATTATCTTAGTTTAAATGAAAATAAGTTTATTTTCATAAATAAATTACTTTTGAAATGCCTCCTTCAAATTCAGCCGAATCAGTAGAGAGAGACTCATTTGTGACGAATAATGTAGCAGTGGTCCAATTCCTTGCAGTCCTGTTCTGTTTTATCTTTTATGGAGAGATATAATCTCAGTTGTGATTGCAGTAAACTACATTATCGACCAACATTACTATTGGTTTGCATTCCAGATGCTATTCTACTTCTCTTATGCCATATTCCTTCTTTGGACCTCTATCTCATTCCTTGTTTACATTGTATTCTTTCAGGGCTATGTTTGGCTCTGCATGGATGGAGAGGATGAATTTAAGAATGATTTATGAAAAATCTTTCGGAAGAATACATTCTTGATTCCTCTCAAACAGTCTATCTATGAATTTTGGCCATTAAGCCCTTTGCTAGGAATCAACTATTTAATTTCCCTCTGCTCAGATAAAGAAATAAGAGATGGCATCAAAGCTAAAGTCAAGATTAGGCTTTATATTACTATGATGCATGAATTCATTAGATCTGGAGGCTCGATCATACTCCAATCATACTCTTTAAGAGAAGGTATTTTGTTTATTTTAAGCTATAGGACATAATATAAATAAATACTTGATGATTGCATCAATATCTATCAATTTTATCTGTTTCTTAAAGTACAAGATAATCTATTCCCTTCTATCCATAGATAGTGCAAGTCATACGTCCTTGTGGAGGAAAATTTTGCACTTAACACTGATGGTGGTAGAAGTTGGAGCAATTCTTTCCTCATTAATTGCAATTACTCGCTACGATAAGATATTAGGCATTTTGGCCTACTTTTCAGTAATCTTTATAAACATCTGCTATACCTGATTGATAGAGAGTCAAAATGAAAAAGATCATTTCAATGCGCAACAGAAGAAAAAGAATGAAGAAATTCTAGACAAAAAAGTAGAGTCTGAAGGAGACAAGAGTCAAGGAGAAATTTCGTTTGTTTTCAAAGAAGGTAAAGGAATTTATAAAGACAATGTTGTAATTATGAAGGAGTGCACAATCATGATTCATGATTATATGTCTTTGATATGAATTAAAGCTTTGATGATTAAGTCAATGGCCAATTGCATGATGGAACTTCTTCAGTTGGTAAAAATAAGCATCTTAAGTAAGTCTTTAGTTACTTTATCTTTTAAATTTAGTTGGTTTCTGATTATACATCTATATTTGAAATGAAGAGATAGATGCTTTAGTTTCTGCTTGTCTGAATCTCATCTTGGTTGTATTGCTGATTGCTTATTTCTTTGCCTCTGCAAAAGAGAAACTAGAAGAACATGAAAAAGAAGAATATATCAGAGAAAAAATTGGTACAATGAATAGAGAGGTAAGAAGTGTTTATGGAAATTTCTTTATTTAAAAAGATTATTACTTATAGTTTACAACAAAAATAGAAGGCAATTCTCAACTATCTTCAAAACAGTTTGAGGAAAGTTCTGAGGAGGAAAATAAATATGGGGATGTAGATGGAGATGAGCCAGATCCAAGTTAAACAAAGAAAGGGATCATGAATGATTCATATTTGATAAATTTTAAGTCCAAAAATCATAATTCTACTTTAACGAGTATTCAATAATCTGGTAAATTATAGGGGTTTTGGGGTTTTGGGGTTTTGGGG